AACATCACGTTCGTTAGTAGTAAAGAATATTGATTCTTTGATGCGTGTATCAGACGGTGGAGGTGAAAGTGAAGATGGACTGTGAAGGGTGTGAGAGGAAGGTGAAGAAATCGGTGGAGGGAATGAAAGGGGTGACTCAGGTGGAGGTGGATCGGAAGGCTAGTAAGGTCACCGTTTCGGGCTACGTTGAACCCTCTAAGGTTGTGTCTCGCATCTCTCACCGCACTGGAAAGAGAGCGGAGCTATGGCCGTACGTCCCGTACGACGTCGTTGCGCACCCTTACGCGCCCGGTGTCTACGACAAGAAAGCGCCCTCTGGGTACGTGCGAAACGCCGACATTGACCCTCGTCTGACTAACCTCGCACGTGCCAGCTCCACCGAGGTCAGGTACACCACCGCCTTCAGCGACGACAACCCCGCCGCATGTGTCGTCATGTGATGTCCATAACCGTCTCTCGTCTTGTGTTACTTTTGTTTTTTGTTCTTGTGTTGTATCATAGTAGCAATGGAAAAGACAAAAGTAAAATAGGTCACCTAATGTATGTAACTTTAAAGTGATTTTGTCATTTTTTTTTTTTATGATGCTGTGTTAAAAATATTTTTAATCTGAGTTTTGTTGGTAGCTCATTTTTCTGAAAAAATTAATTGACTATATTGATGGTAGTGTACTGATTTGATTTGTATATAGCGCGTTTTTTTTTCACATTGAAAATGATTGGTGGCAAAGTATAATATAAAAAATGAAATACGAAAAATCATCTCTTGTTATATTTCAAAGAGATCAGACTCGTATTCGTAAATATTCCTTCGAAAAGAAGAATGATATATATGTAAAATAGTTATAAAAGAGTAAATTTTTATATTTTTTCAATATACATTATAAGAATAAAACAATTATAAAAAAATTCTATTTTTTTAATAAAAAAGTAAAAAAAAAATTAATATAAAAAAAATTATGTGTCAAAGGAATTTCTCATAAAATTTATAGTACTAGATTTGATAATTTATTCGGACTTTTATATTCAGTTTTTCAAACTCTAAAATGGGCTTGGGGGAAGTTGCATAGCCCAGCCCAGCCCAAGCCCATCTTTACTGTACAGGGGGACTATTTAAAGGCGTGTTTCCCTCTGAATGTGGCATTGGCGCGCGAGGGTTTGAAGTTTTGGCGCAGAAAAAAAATGGCGGAAGAGTATAATGAAGGTGAAGTTGAAGAAGAGTTCTCCGTTTGGAAGAAGAACACTCCTCTGTTGTACGATTTGTTCATTTCTCATCCTCTTCAATGGCCCTCTCTCACTGTTCACTGGCTTCCTTCCTCTCCCCAACCCCACTCCCACCCTTCCTTCAATGTCCACAAACTCCTCCTCGCTACTCACACTGCCCAGGGCGAACCCAATTTCCTCATGCTCGCCGACGCATCCCTCCCCGCCGACACCTCGCAACCCATCGTTGCCGCCGACCCTGCCGACCCGGTTCTACCCAAGGTTTCTTTTACTCATGCCCGTCTTTTTGCATCATTGAGTTGTGGCCACTAACTGTTCGATGAAAGTCCTCAGTGTTATTTCTTGTTGTTTTTGTAGGTAGAAATTTCCCAAAAGGTTGCTGTTGACGGGGAGGTGAATCGAGCGCGTTGTATGCCGCAGAACCCTGCTATTGTTGCTGCGAAGACATGTAATTCCGAGGTTTATGTGTTTGATTTCAACAAGCAGCGTGGGAGCGAGTTTGCCCCTGATTCGAGGTTAAGGGGTCATGATAAAGAGGGCTATGGTTTGTCTTGGAGCCCTTTCAAGAGTGGGTATCTTTTGAGTGGTTCGCATGACCATAAGATTTGCTTGTGGGACGTGCCTGCTGCTTCTCAAGAGAGTGTGATTGATGCAGTTCATGTTTACGAGGTAGTGCTTCGAATTATTGATGACAGTTTATTTTTTGCTTGGTTGCTCGTCACTTTGATGATTGAATAGGACTTTTGATTGTCTTGTCAGGGTCATGAGAGTGTGGTTGAAGATGTGTCCTGGAATATGAAGGACGAGAATCTGTTTGGATCTGTAGGAGATGACTTTAAATTGGTCATTTGGGACTTACGGACTAACAAACCCCAACAATCAGTCAAACCACATGATAACGAGGTAATATATTTGCGTCGTAATCCTTGCTTCCAAGATCAGCACTATGACTTGTGAGTCTGATCATAGTTTCTCTGTGCATGCAGAAGCTGCACTGCTGTGCGCATAGGTCGTTAGGATTGTTTAGTTTCGACATTTACATACGTCAAAACTTATTCTGAACTACTACTAGGTTCCTAGAAAGAAAGAAAAAGGTCAAGATAGCGCTGTCTATTCTTTATTTTTTGGGATCGTGGGGTGCTGTGAGGAAATAATTGGAGTGACTATTAGAAGAGAGACACTAAGTATTTTTAAGGTCACTAAACTCTGGAAGTCCTCGATTTAACTGAATGGAATTTGTACCGAGAGCCTGAGGCTGTGAGGATCACAACATAGGGTTGTGTGTGGCATTGCTAAAAACTGCTGTTTTTTTTGTCCACTGTAGCACACTGTTTATTGTGCAATTTTTTATGTTTAATTATCGTCGTTGTGTTAACTGAAATATAGTCCCTAAGTCTCTAATCGTCTTACTCTTGTTGCTCTTTTAACTGAATATTATTTGTTTGTGACATGTATCTGTTTTCTTTTTGAATCAGGTTAACTTTCTTTCATTCAGTCCATATAACCAATGGATTTTGGCTACAGCATCTTCAGATACAAGTGTTGGTCTATTTGACATTCGGAAGCTGGAAATTCCACTACATTTTTTAAGTAGCCACACGTACGTCGTTAGTATATCACGTGTGTTTTTTCTTCAATACCACACCTAATCTACTGTTTGCATTTGAGTAAAAAATAAGCAATGGTTTGATTCTTTGGGCTCCATTCACTTTGAAGGGATATGTGAGTAATTGATTGAATGAATTTGATAGAATTTAAATATATATATTTTTTTGTTTATTTGAATAGATTTAAAGATAAGTGAGTCCATATTTGTAAATAAAGTTAATGAGAATTAGTATAAGATTTGATTGATTTAACAAATTGAAAAAGTTACTTTCAAATTCATTCTCACTTATCTCCAAATTTACTCAAATAAATAACAAAAAAATTATTTTTAAATTCTTTCAAATCCAAATCTATTCAAATAAATAACAAAAAATTTTACTTTTAAATTCTCTGAAATCCAGTTACTCTCTCCCAGCTACTTATAAAACCTAGGTGAAATAATTGTTTTTTGTTGATATAATTTCAATGTGATGACGGATTATTCATTAGTTTAGGAAGCTCAAATATTCTTTACTCACTGATGTGGTTTGTTTTTAATTTGCATAGCGATGAAGTATTCCAGGTTGAGTGGGATCCTAATCACGAGACTGTGTTGGCATCATCTGGCGCTGACAGACGGCTGATGGTTTGGGATCTTAGCAGGTAAGGGCAGAGTGCTTTGTCTCTTTCTCTTGACTATACATGTTGCGATTGTCGGTCTACTACTAAAGGAAGCAATTTGCTCATGGTTACGAAATCAAGAATTGCCTGGTTAATTTTTTAGTAGATGATCGGGTTAAATATAATAATTTTGAACTGGAAATAGCTAAACCCAATTATCAATGTCTCGTAAAACCAAAAGGGCCAGTTATATTGGATTGTGTGAAAAGCCAAATTGAGTACATACATTAAATGAGAAAAATAAAACTGGAATAATAAAATATCATAAGTTTAGAAGTGTTCTTTTAATCCCTTTTGATTTAACAAAATAAGAAACCTATAATTTTCTTTTAAGGAAACTGGTGAAAGAAAAGTGGAAAATAGAATAAAGAAATAAATCGTTGAATCACTTGATTCATGATCTTACAAAATTGTATTAGTACATAACATCTTATGATACAACTCCATTAGTAGGCAACTCATCCAATCGTATGATGTAATGGATCTTAGTTTTTCAAATTATCATGATTATGGTTATTTAGTTGCAAAGTGCAAACTCTATAAAGGCATAATAATTAAAGATATGTTTACATATTGCCTTGTAGCTTTATATTTGTGTTGGCTCAGGATCGGAGATGAGCAGATAGAGGGAGATGGTGAGGGTGGCCCCACCGAATTACTCTTCTCTCACGGGGGTCACAAAGGGAAAATATCAGATTTTTCATGGAACAAAAGTCAGCCATGGGTTATCTCAAGTGTAGCTGAGGACAATTCTTTCCATGTATGGCAAATGGCAGAGAACATTTACAGTGACGGCGACGATGACAACATGTGGACGGCCAATGATTAACTGACCACCATATGATCAAATGCTTTGTTGTTTAAATGGAATCTTGACTATTCTATTTTTATTACGATCGCCAGTCAGTTTTTTGTGAATTTCCTAAAACATAGTATCTTTCTTTGTCAAAAATGGATTCTCTAAAGCCCGTATAAAAATGCCTCATGATAATTTGTGCGCACTCATGTGATTATTCCCCCTCGCACGTTGCATAATTTTGTCTACAACAAGCTAGAACAGCAAAGTTTGATGGGTAAAATAGGAAAATGGTTTAGGAATTGCTTTCCGCGTGTTGTAGCATCATGGCGCCGTTTTGTTCCTTGTTATTGGAAAGGAAAAGCTATGCCATCGACCTTAGTTTTATGAAACTTTTCAGGGAGACGAATACAATATATATTCTTCCCTTTTGAGAGAATGCCTTTCGTCTTGATGATATTCTTTTGCGCCTTAAACAAAATTAATAATCTAATAAGTCTAACCTAAATTTACATAAATTTTGGAAAAGGATTAAAAAAGTAATTAAAACGCTTTGGAATTGAAGAACAATGAACTATCTTTTATAAGAAATAATATCAAAACTCACAGGAAGCAAAAACATAAGTATATTATTAATAGACGAATAAGTTGATTTCATAGTATTAAAATTTTATTTAGTCCCGAAATCCTGATGTATATATAATAAGTTGAACGAGAAACCAATGCGAGGTTAATTATTACAAAATTTGTCCAGAAATGACAATCCAAGTAGAAGATACAATAATATAATGTTTTATTAATCATCTAATGCCGAAAAGATGGTCACCAAAAACTAGTGAAGACTTGTTATCTAAGTGCAGAAAGGCAGATATGCTTCCCATCATTGAATCAGGTACAGCTACTAGCGTTCTCAAATACAAAACAAGTCACTTGTATGTCTCAACTTGTAGAAGACAAGCCCGCATGCAAGATCTTCACTTAGGGGACTACAGTTCCTTCTGGATACATATTAGTCAACCCTTGTCCAGTAAAAATGCTAAACACACAAGTAAACCTCTCATATTATTATGATAAACAAAGACGGAAAAAGAACAACGCCGGCAACCAAACAAGCTAATTTTATTATTTCACCCACACAACATTTAATATTACACAAAGTGACACCGGTGTCTCACCTGTCCACAGCACTAAGTACTGAAAGATGAAACACACCCCATCTGCCCTAAGTTCTGTAATCCATCAAGGAAAAACTTGCGAATTTAGAAAACATTAATCGCCACTAAAAATTCTCTTATTGTTAAACAAAGCAACCAATACTCACAAACTGAGAAATGTAAAAGTGGCTGAGCATAGACACATTTATGATGTCAATTTAACTAGTTCCATGCATAAAAAAGCAAGAAAATTAATTGCGCAGAGAAGAGCCCAATCTGTCTCAGCCATAAGCTATGCTGTTTACAGATCAACCATAATACTTTAAGAAGAAACATTGATTTATGACTAATCTTCCATAGTAGAACAGCCATTCGAACCACGATAATGCAGCAGAGGGTCAAAAAGAGAGAATTATTTTAAAAAATGACTTGATGGATAGCTGATGCTGCAACTGGTAACGAGATATTGGAAGGAGATATTACCATGGCAAGGATGAAAACCAACGTTCTATTAATTCTTCAACCAGCTGTTGCTGCACGAGATCCCCCTAAAAATAAAAATCGAAGTTATCATACTGAACTTGAGAATTCATAGAGAAACGGGGAGAAACAGATTTAAATAACAAAATTGAAAAAGAAAGTCTAGTTCCAACACTCTTAGTAGAGTGTAAAAAATGTTCAATAAAATAATTTGGTATTTAAAATCTTTAAATTTCAGTTGCTTAATCTTCCCGATGGAGATCACTCATGCGTACACATATGGGCGAACTTTAGTTAATTTACCACATCTTACAAATAGGAATACTACCCTTTCCACACTTGGCACTATCATATAAGCTAACTAAGACCTTATAAAAAATTTAGCAATCAAATTTCAGCCCTAAATATGAGTACACTAACGAATGTTAGCAAAGAAACAATACCAAATATAAACAAAAAGGTTGTTTCGGCGTGACCATCTGAGATCAGAATTCCCAACAATTCATGACAAAAGATGCGGGAGATCACGTTGCAAAGCAAGTCATCTCCAATGCTTTCGCTCTCATTGCTCAAATCTCAATACTCTTTCTTTCATTCTCTCAAATCTCGATGATTTTCTATGCTATTAGACAATACCATCAGCCAGCAATTAAAATATAAATAAGAATAAACACAAATTAAGCAGCAAATCAAACAGTTCATCCTAGAATAAGACAGTGCATGTGAAGCGGTCGAACCTTTTCTTTTTGACGCAGAAGAATTTACATTTGACCCTGCCTGCCCAACTCCACATGCACGCAGCTCCTTGAGCCCCAAATTCTGGTTTGCTAGACACTGCAGGTTCTCAAATTCACAACCACCAAACTCTTCCCCATTTAACGACACATTCTCCACGATTCTCCCATCAGCTCCTGGATGAAGGCAATACACCCTATCATCACACTGCATGTTGCAAGGGTTCATCACATAAGAACCAGGCAGGTTAACCACCGGAGGGTTCGCATTCGGCGATTTCTGATACGGAAAGGAACCAATTTCCCCTTCAATCCTGCCCCTTATGTCCACCAGCAAGCACTTCAGCCTCGCGATTTCAGCTTCCAAAGCAGCCTGGTTCTGCAACTTCTTCATCAAATGCTGATTGAGAGCCCTCAATTTCACCACCTCGTCCTCCAGCGAGGCCGCGCGAGCCTTCTTCTTCTCACGGTACTTTCGAACCGCTTCTTTGTTACCAAGGGGCCGCTTCTTCGACTTCTTCTCCGCGGACTCCGCCGTGTCGTCGGTGGCCACCTGGTCCTCATCAGGTGCCGGCACGATTTTGGTGTGCACGTGGTAGCACGTATGAGTGTGCGAAAAATCGGGCCCCGGAGGATTGCATGTGTGGGTGTGCGTGCAGGCATGCGTGTCCTTGAGAAGCTCGTCGAAGAAACTGTCCATGGAACCACTGCTCGGAAGCTCCCCCATGTTCGGACTCGAAAACACTTCCTGCGTCGAGAAATCGAGCTCGCCGTCGTCCATTTGAACGGAAATCCCCAAATCAGACCTATTAAAAAAATGTGCTATTTCAATTAAATTGAACTGAACCTGGAATCGTGCATACAGAGGATTACATCGAATCGTGTAGAAACCCTAACATGATTTGGAAACAGAAAGAAAAGCAAAAAATGGACGTACCAGAAAGAAACGATAGCTTCACAGATTCTACCCTCAACTTTTTCTTTGTCGATTTTCTCTCTCTTCAATTTCAATGGGTTCAAATTTATACCTATTACCCTCTTCCCACTGTAAATTCTGATTCTTAGAACAACCCTCTTCCCAAACACTCTTTCAGAGATTAGCGGTTCATAAATATCATAATAATATTATAATTTCCTTTTTAAGGAGAGACAAGGAATCTTGTGAGAACGTGATTATGTAAACCTTTTTCTGTTTAGTTTTTATTCTTTGTTTTAATCCAACACAAATTCAAACTTAATCATCAATCTTCGACTAAAGTAATTCAGATTACTTTATTTTAATGGGCTTAAGATTCTCACCTATTACCTTGTACCCACTAACATATAGCTATATTCCTTTTCCACTAACATATAGCTTTATTTTAATTAAAATAATACCACAATTATCATCACCCATCACCATTTAATTCTGATTTTGTTTTTTCTTTCTATAAATTCGATTTCAAAAATTAGTTTTTAGAGCAAAATGTAGTATAAGTAAAAAGTTGAATAAATCAAAAATAAAAAACACGAAAAAACATGCTGACTTTAGCATATTTTTTTCTTTTACTCTCGCCTTTTCAATCCTTTTCAAATACAGTGGGTAGAATAGAAAAATCGCATTAATAGTACGGGACGAAAAATAAGTAGAAGAATAATATAATTTTATGTACAGGTTAAGAAACCTCTTTTAAATAAAGTTAAAAAGTAGATTTTATAAATAAATTAATTAATATATAATTGATTTTATTTTATGGAAACTTTTTTTTACTTTATTATTTTATTTTTTATAATTACTTTTGGAGAATTTTATCCAGGAAATTATTTAATAACTTCTAACAAGTTCAGTAAAAAACAATTCAAATGAAAACAAATGAAACGTGAAAACAAATGAAACGTGAAAACAAATGAAATGTGAGGGAAATATTATAAAGATAATGATACCTTCATAATATTTTTTTATAATATTTTAACGTTATTTACTATATTAATATTTATGATTATTATTATTAATTTTAAATCAATATCATTATTCTATTATAAAAGCTATAAGTCAAACATTTAATTTGATGTTTTATTACGTCGTTCAAATAAGGTTTTGATTTCGTCCGCCTACCAAACCAAGACCAGTTACTTCCCACGTACACACTCTTCAATCTTAGGTATAAAAACATGTACTTTGAATATTTTAAAATCTTTTAATGTTGGTTTTCTTTCTTAAAACAAGTGTTTTTATTTTTATTATTCTAATTTTTAAAGTACTTCAATTTCATGATGTGATTTATAATTATCACTTAAAGGCGGTTATAAATCATTACAGCCACACTTTAAATTTAAATTTGAGTATTTTTAAATTGGACAAAATGAGACGGTAAAAAAATGAAACCAAAATTGAAAGAGATTTCGAGAAGTAAAATATATTTCATGCAATCTTGTATTGGAAATCTTTACTGTAACATATAAACCGGACGGTCCGAAAGTAGGGTTGGAACTTCTGTGACAGCCAATATTTCTTTTATCTTTTTACTCCTTTGACAGCATTATGAGCAACTTGCATAAATATTTATGATGGTTCACCGTGTGGGAGTGGAGCAAAACCAGCCAATCAATAAACCAGGTCATTAAGACGAAGATTAAGGTCAAAAGTGATTAGATATGTTGGGTTGGAATTGGACCAAGATTAACTTCTCACTAATCTCAAGCTCATAGCAAAAACTATAAATACAGGTCAGAGGTAAGTGGTAGATAGGTTGCATTTACTGCACATTCACTACTATTTTATCAAATCTCCAAGGGTTTTCGTATAAGAAGACAAATTGTGGAGGCATTTGGTGACTTAGCTCCAAATAACTGAAACATTTACTATTATTATTTGATATTATATTATTATATTATAAAAACTTTGTATTGTTATTTGTTTTAAAATATATGTAGTTTTGTTTAAATGATAATTTAAGCAAAAGAAAATACTAAAACACTATATCATATAGAAAGAAGATTTATTTAAGGTGTCTTGTTAAAGAAAATAACTAATTTCTTAAAATTTCGAAATTTGTTAAGAGAATAATCAGTTTCTTAAAATCTAGATATTTGTTAAGAAACTAATTTCCTAAAATCTTGATATCATAACAATCTTCTAGAAACGAAATCTGTTATGGAAATTGTTATACTCCTAAAATCTCAAAAATATGCTAAGAGAACAACCTGTTTTCTAGAATAAAAATATGTTAAAAGAGCAATCAGTCTCTTAAAATATCAAAATTTGCTAGAAAAGTAATCATCTTCTAAAAACGAAATCTACTAACTAAACTCTTACAAGTTGATTTGTAAAATTGAATTAAAATTAAACTCAAGTCTTAACATGATATGAGAATATCTCCCAATGAGGTTTGATAAATCTATCGTTTCACTCGCAAACAAAGAAAATTATGGAACAAAATAAAAGTCACATTAATCAACTAACAAAAAAATTAAAAATCAAAACTTAATAAATAAAATAAAACTTTTGAATATCTAAATAAAAATAAAAATATAAAAAATACTCAAAATGGCCTTAAAGTTAAAAGAAATAATAGGATGATATTAAGTCCAAATAAATTAAGTTTACGTCATAATATTAACTGTATGGATTATATTTCTTAGTTTGTATACTGTTGTAAAAGGTAATCATAAAAGGGAACGATAATTGTTTTTTTCATTTAAAATTGGTCTCTATTATATTCATTTGTGAGTTTAGATTGGTAAGATGTAGTAGTAGTAAAATATAGTTAAAGTACTTATCTCACCCTACTAAAAAGGATATAAAACCTAAAATTATTCCTAAACAAAGAGAAGTCAGACCTTGGTTGGTTAGCAGTGAGAGATTAATTTGTTTCGGAATCTCGTCATATTCTTACGTTGTTGGTTGAAATTTCAAACATAATGATCCTATCGTCGGTTGAAATTTATATATTTTATGAAATATGGTCGGTTTCGGTATATATGATTGAGTAAGATGCATTCAACCATTGCCTAAGATGCATTCATAAAACCAAAATTTAGTACATTATTCTCAGGGTAAATTAAAAACAAAATTGCCATTCTACATCTACAAACCACCTCATCAAGGGTGCTGAATCTCTGTCTTCTTTCTTTGTTTTTTTAACGTAACTGTACATGCACAAACTAAGGACAAATACAAGGGTTAGGAACTTAGGATTCAACAAAACTAATTGAAACTTGATGACCTGCTCCATTGTTCTTTCAAGTGCTCACTATAGCTGAGCTCAGTGCTAGTTTGTGATGCTTTGTCATCGTCCACACCAAGTAAAGCAAGACTCAGGTGTAACTCAGCACTTGAACTTGGATACACTTCATCATCGATGTTTTCTCCATTTTCTGAATCATCCTCATTGTTCCCAAGGGAGTTCAGCAAATATTCAACTTTCTCATCTCCTTTTAGGATCTTCAGTATCTGTAAATGACAGAGTTTAAGATCTAAAAGTATATATTTTTTCTATGACTCTCATAAATAAACTTTACATAACCTCAATGAAAAATGGAATCAAGCCATTTTTATAAAGGGAATTGGTTCAGTCTTTTAAAGAATGTATTTTTCTTTTAAACACATTTAGTTTAGTTATCGCTGTTACACTAATGCACAGTTCAATTTAGAAAATCAGAATGAAGAACTCTGTAAAAACAGTTCAGATAATTAAAGAAAAATGATTTTTATAAAGTGATTCGGCTTGATTTTCCTCAAAAGGTGTGTTTTTTTTTCAAACCTCTAATTTTCTTAATTAAACGTGATTATCATTAAGAACATGACAACTTTAATGTGTAATTTGGTTTTACCTGGTTCAGTTTAGGACGAAGTCGAGCAGCCCGTTGGATGCATAAAGATGCTGCCATAACCATTCTTTGCAATTGGACCTCATCAAATTTCCCTTCTAAATCTGGGTCCAATAAGCCTTTAATATCCCCACTATCTATCATTGGTTTTGCCTGAAAATGAAATCATTGTTTAGGATTCCTAGGTGTATAAACTATGATGTATCAAATAAAGATTTATACTTTGACTGACGCTGTTTTCACAAGTTCTGTCTGATATACTTTTCAACAAATTCATTTTTTGAGTCAAATCATTTATCTTATTTTATGCTTCTCTTTCCATCTCTGTAACAAGGTATAGCAAGAATAATGCCATTCTTACATTTTTTTTATATGATTAAGAGAAGTCAAAATTCATTATTGTAAATGGGGTTAGATCTTACCCACACGACCAAGCTCTCCTGTCCTTTGCAAGCTGCTGAGCTGATTGGTTCCCTTCCTGATATTAGTTCAAGTAGAACTACACCAAATGCATAAACATCTATCCTGTCACTGACATTTCCATACATGAAGTATTCAGGAGCAAGATAACCAAATGTTCCTACTACATCATGTGTCAAAAAGGATGAATTTGTAGGTCCCCATACTGCAAGTCCGAAATCAGATAACTGCATCATGGACCATAGTGAGTTACAATGAAATTCTCACAAATGTTGCTTCATTTGAATACTAATAGTACTAGATATTCTTTTCAATAGTAAGAATCTCAAAACTTTTTGATTACCTGAGGTTCAAACCCTTGGGAAAGAAGAATGTTAGAAGACTTGACATCTCTGTGTATAACAGGCTTCAAAGCTTCCCTGTGTAGGTAATCCAGGGCTTCAGCGATCCCAACTGCCACATTAAATCTCACCTCCCATGACAATTTGCTCTTTCCTATATCCATTTCCAAGTTCATATCAGAAATTACATCTTTCGACAATTGAAATTATGGATGAAAAGTAAAAGAAAAAATAGAAAGAAACTTTACCATGCAGATTTTCCTCTAAGGTGCCCTGGGGCAAATAATCATAAACGGAGATTAAAGTATTGTCCTCTGTACAAATCCCAAGTAGAGGGGCAATGTTTTTGTGCCTCAATGAGGATGTTATTTCCATCTCAAGGGCAAACTCGTTCCAGGCTTCTTTGGATGACTGCAATACTTTAACTGCCACTGGCTTTCCATCAGGGAGGACTCCCTTGTACACACAATTGCTCCCTCCTTTCCCAACCAAGTTTTCTGCAATGAAATACAGAGTTATATACTTATATTTGCTTACAAACTAAAAAAAATCGTA